GGCGACATTTATGCAAAAGTGATTATCTGCTTTGAGCAGGCCAACTCCTCTGATAACTCCCAAACTTTTCAAAGGTTATAGAAGCATACTCTCAAGTAGATTTTTAGCATAGTATTTCAAATGGCCATTTGGCATAGGCATGAAAATGCTGGGAATTTTTTTCAGCCACTTTAACTTAATGTAATCCATATTTCTTCAAATGCATAAAAGCGATTAAACCGATTCTGCCTAGAATCGGAAAGCAGATTAAATTTGAACTCCACGTTCAAGCGATTTTGCCAAAAAGCAAACAAACTTCCAGATTCTTATCAACTTAGTTGTAGCCCGGAAAAATCACGTCTAACATTGATTCTCCATAGTTTTCTTCCTTCTAAATATTGTACTATCTGTAATTCTGTAGAAAATTATTCCAAATTGGTCATTTTTTTTTTCTCAAGCCATGTAACAACTTGTCACAGGAGCCCAACTCTACTATTATCAGGATTTGCTAACATTCAGCCTTTCCATCCTAAAATGTATGTTAAGCAGAGGAAGACATTTTTTTCTTTCAAGGAACCATTCCACTTTGTAACACATGCTGGTGGGTTGATGTTCCATATGAGCTCATAATTTCTTTCTTTTCCAAATAATGATTGTAGCCTGTCTGCGAATGTGGGAGAGAATAACTTTTGGGCTCCCTGAGAAAACACCCTAAATTAGAAGTCTGAGTATTCATGTATTTTAACAGCTACTTTGACACCCCACAACTACACTCCCTTTCTCTTCTCACTGCCTTGATTTAGGGGACTTGGGCCCAGCCACCCTGCCTCCTCCTTTTGTGAAGGAACATTTCGAAATGTCTATAGAAAGCAAAGTTCTCGAAGAAATGCAGCACAGGGCATGGCTTGAATGCAAGTCTGAATTTAATTGCGGCCACCCTGGTAGTACCCTGTTTAATTTCCAACACACATCTGCATGATCCCCACATCAACTCCAGGCCAGGAATTGTGAGCGAGGAAAATTTATCTGTGATACAGTTACATATCTCTTGCCAAGGAACAGTTGCTTGGGGTTGATTCAAAAGTCAAATTTAAACAAATGTTCCCAAGGCCTTTTGTGTATGGGGACGTTGGTATTGCTAACTTCTTCTGAGCCTTTTGAACCGAGAGAAATGGAGAGTCCCATCTTCTGACCCGTCTACTTTGGCAACATTGTGAAGTGAGGGGAAAACGGCTGAAATATTACGAGGCTGGCTAGTATTTCCACTTTAAAATGCTGACGGCAAAGAGGTTAATGACAGGCTCAGGGTGTCCCTCTGGTTGAAGTGCTGTAAACAAGTTCCTGCTGCGCTCCAAAGAGCGTGGTTCTCCAAGGAGCTGGAAGGGACGTTCAGAGCCATGGGGGAACAGACCTGGAGGGAGCCCCATCTCTTAGCTTGTGGGCCCCCCCCCCCCCCGCAGATATTTAATTTCTGCTGGATCTACTTAAAAGGAACAACTGCTCTTGTGGCCACGGTCAGTCCCCAGACATTTGAAAGGCACAAGTTCAAGCAGTAATCCAAATATTTTACACAGCTGGCTCTAGCTGTTTCAGTAGACGTAGAACTTACAAATCAAACAGAAGACTTAACCTGGGCATTTCTGAAAAATGGACCGCCCACCTCTATTATCGTACACATTGAACACAATGTGGTTGGAATATTATTTGTGCGTTGTATCTTCTGGGCTCTGAAAATACAAACCTCTTTAAAAATCAAAGGGAAGAATAGTTGTCTGTTGGCATTTTAGAAGAATACCTTGCCAAGACTCAAGCAAAAGATCACACGTATGAGTGTGTGTGGAAGATAAAAGAAGGACGTAGCTGTTCTATTTCTGTTTGTCCACATGCCCTCAGGCTGATTTACTATAACCACCAAAATGGCAGGGTTTGGCCCCAAATGCTAAGTAAACTCATGCTCAGTCCCCTCATTAATTCCAAACGCATTCATTCAACTGAAAACATTTTTTTCCCCCCAAAGCATATAGTTTTTGAGACTCTGCACTTGAGTAGCAGACACACCTTTCAGGGTTACCACCTTTTAAACCCTTTTGGCTTTCTTTTTTCTTTTCTAAATTTGTAGGTGAGCTGTGTTATCCCCTTCCGAATGAATAGTACACCTTCTACTCAACTGTATGAAGCCTTCGGAGATAAAGTCCCTCATTTAACTTCCTTTGTGACATAGGGTTCCTTGTACTCACAAGAAGTATAAAATGAGGACTTTCTACTGGGATCATCAACCAGGACAGAAAACTGTTCTTGTCATCTTTTGGGAGGCAAACAGAAAGCTTCTAATGGCTTGTTAAATTAGCAAAGAGGTGGTACTTGGATATGATGGTTTATGCTCAGGAGTTGGGTTTAAAAATAAGCAAATATGGAAAACGAGGTTTCCATGGACAAAGGATGCTTTGACTAAGCTCTCTTTTCTCCCCAGGTTTATTTTTCTAGGGTCGGAGGGATGTAGGTACTATTTCATTTATATAGACTTGCTAGGCTCACTGCAGATGTTTGGGATTTCCTGGAAAAATAACTATATTATTTTGACAGTTGACATTTTAAGCACAGCATAAGGCTCCCAACAGTATTCTAGGAGAAGTTAATGTGGCACTCCAAGGCTTTATTTTTTTTTATTTTTTATTCATTTAATGTGGAATTCTATGTAAAAGAAACACTGATGATTTGGAGAAAATCCCTCCTCTACCAACTTCTCTGAGAGTAGATCTGGAAGGATGAGAACAGGAAATGTAATATTACCTATGCATATGCATGAGTATGTAATCCAGAAAATGCTTACTCCAGCAGTGCCGTCTAGAAAGTTTGTGGGAGGCCATTAAAAAGGGATATCTCACTCTTAAATATGGAGAACAAACAGAGGGTTCCTGGAGGGTTGTGGGAGGGTGGGGGGCTAAATGGGTAAGGGGCATTAAGGAAGTTACTCCTGAAGTCAGTGTTGCACTAGGTGCCAACTAACTTGGATGTAAATTTAAAAAAAAAATTAAAAAAACAAAAGGGATGTCTCAAGCTAGCCATCCTTCCAAAAGTTAGCAATTTTGTAATGCCTCTCCGGTATTCCCTGATCCCTTTTACAAGTCCCCATCCCCTTGGGCCCTCTTGTCCTTCCCTCCTCACTCCCATGACTGGCAAGGTAGGACTAAAATAAAGCCTGCCAGGAAATACCGGTGCCATTTGCCCAGTGAAACCAGGTCATCCCAGCATCCAAGAACTCCTAGAGCGAATGTAATTTATTCACTTTGTTTAGCCTTTGGAAGGAAACCGATTATTGTCACTGTTGCAAAGCTTATGTCTCAAAAAGCTGAAGTCATTTGATGACCACAGTCTAATGTGTCTTTATACTCTTGACAGGAGTGACTTCCCCCCACCTCACATACATAAGTAGGACCCAAGACCTGGCCTGCCCTTAAAAACTCACGATCGAGGGATGCCTGGGTGGCTCAGTCAGTTACGCGTCCAACTCTTGATCTCACCTCAGGTCATGATCTCATGGTTTGTGGGATGGAGGTCTGCATTGGGCTCTGTGCTGACAGCGTGGAGCCTACTTGGGATTCTCTGTCTCCCTCTCTCTCTCTCTCTGCCCCTCCCCTGCTCGCCCGCTCTCTCTCAGAATAAATAAACATGAAACCATTTTTAAAAAATTCACAATCGAAGAGGAAGGTTGTTTCAGTAAGATGCACTTTATTGGTTTCAGAGACCTATTCCCTGGTAAAGAGGATCAATCTTTTTGCACGTTGGAGAGACATTTAAGATAATTTTGAACTTTCTTTTCATGTAAAGCCTGGACAAAGTGGAACATCTAGGAACATTAGGTTGGACTAAAGAAAACTTCTAAAAATGGTTCTTCTTGCCCACTCGTTGCTAATCTGAGAAATGACCTAAAATGGCAACTCAGCATGGTGACCTGAACTGGGGCCTGTCCTTCCCTGGTTAGGACTGGTTGGTTGGATATTCCATGTCACTTTATTTTATACCAGCGAATGTTGGCGGTATAGATGGTCAGTTACGATCACATAGGCCAAGACTGATCTTTCTTTCTAGTATCAGATTTTATAAGACTCATCTGGACTAGTGCCTCAATTCTTGACTTCATTTTGTTCTTCTCAATGGGGCCTTAAAATACAGCATTGCAGCTAATCACACAAATGACTTCACTGCAGAAAGACAGTCATCTGTCCTACATCCTAGAAATTGAGAGTAATCATGACTCTGGGGACTTTTAAATACAGTCATAAAATGTGAATTAAAGTTCACCAATATCCCATGTCCTTTATCTTAAATAAGAAGTTCAGGGTCATTATTTTCTGCCTCCAAGTAATTTCACACCTAGACCTATCTGGAAGGAAACTCTAAAATTTTTTGACATCTCTGCTATCGTGATATGTTATGATGGCTACCGTGCTTTCTGCCCTCCTCCCTGTCTGTGTGCTGTGACTCATGGTGAGCTTTTCCTTTTTACTTAACACAAGTTAATGCGATTTCCCAACTTCTAGAAAAATGATCTCCTTGGTTGCTCGGGAGCTAACGATGTTTTGAATGATGGTGGCCACTAAGTTGTGCCTCAGCATTCAAAATGGTGGAGCCATTTATAAACTTGTATAAGGTTATGTGTATTATTCCATTTAAATATGGAGAAAAAGGGGGAGGTTTTATCTTGTTTATGCTTTTAAGAAACAAGGTAGTTATTATTACTGCGTAAAATAAAACATACCATGCAGTGTCTTCATAACTTTTAATAATAAGGTGAGATTGAGTTTATGCTTATAAACAGCCTGGTATTTGTGGTGTATTTTTTAAAAACAAAATTTCAAAAATTCTTCAGTTGTGGGGAAAGTAATGTTAAAAGTTTTCACTACTCAGTAGGCCTGTGTTACTCTGATTGCATTGAACAGTGACCCAACCCTCAGTTTCGAATAGAACTTGTCACATAAGTAGGCATTACTTTTAATTTATCTGAGAATTTTATTTCTGTGTCTCATCTAATTTTATTTTATTTTATTTTTACTCCTGGGCAAGGTTAGTATGATACATGCCAATCTGGTGAACATATTGGGACCCCTGGAGAGGAGCAAAGTGGCCGGTGTCGGACCATGTAAATGAGCCGGAAATGAGGACAGTGACAGATTCTCGTTTGTGGTGACTTGACTAATCACACTGAAATACCAGGATAGATACAGGACATCAGTTAAGGTTGGGGGGGGGGCGTAGCCCTGAAAGGCTCAATCCGTCCTTTCCTGGAAACACAGCTGAGACGGACATGGCGTCCTCTCAACTTATTCTGGAACATTCAAGAAGGGTCTGCCACTTGACAGATACTTGCTAAATGCTTGCTCTCAGTCCAGGGCTGGAGGAGATGTCAAAACGTACAAGTGGTGAAAGATGCGGTGTGTATGCCTGAAAAGAAACAACGGGAAACTCTGTTCCGTTGTTCGCGAACATTGGTCTCCAGTCTTAGTCAAGGACATGGACTCATCGGCAGATAGTCTCAGTTAAAGTTGGTATGCACAGTGTGCTGTGGTGACAGAAGCCCACTTCTTAGGGCTGGGAGAGGCTGAGTAGGGGATGATGTCTAATTTTAATTTTGACTGAAGAATTATTTAGTGGCTACTAAAACTCTGTGCTCTCTCTTGGCGCGAGGGATTCAAAGAAAGATAAGACAGTATTGATCTTTGAGGAGATCGTGGTTTCATGTAGTAGACAGACAGGTTATGAAGCTCAGTGCCCACTCACACGCACCCACTCAAGCACACACAGTGGCATAGGGTGTAAGTGTAACAGAGTTACTTGATTACGTAGGAGACCAAAAAGAAGGGCCTATATCTTTTTGGAGGGAGGCAAGAAAGGTAGCTTACCCAAACTGTTGGTCAGTAGATTAGCCCCGTGAATAGAATGCTGGGAAGGTGTAGAAGAGGGAACAGCTAATTCTGCCTGAAAGAGGGTCGGCATCGGAGGAGCCGGCGTTGGCTTGGACATCGAAAGTTAAGTGGGATTTTTTTCAGCGAGGTGAGTGAGCTGAGAACAGAAGGCGATTCCAAGGGGGAAATGGCGTGAATCGAGTGTATGCTGTGTCTAGGAGAACGAGGTCTGGTTGGTTTGTCTGGAACTTCCTGGGCATGGAAGAAATTGGAGGACCCCAGGTCAGGGAAGCGGCCTGGGGCCATGTGAAAGCCAGGTTCAGGAATCTGTTGTCTGTTTGTTTGTTCCTGAAAGGCAATGAGGCGCCGTTGTTATTGGAAGTTTTGAAAAGTAAGTTGGGCAATAGAGGGAGAAAGGATTGGGGAGGAGGAAGGTTGAAACGCTGGTTCTCAGCAGTGATGAGCAATACATCAGAATAACCAGGGAAGCTTTGAGCAGAGGACACAGGCTATTTTTTCCCCTCCCTGGTCTTGTCTTTTCCCTCAACCAAGTTTCTGATCTGATATGGGGTGACTGGAAGGTAAATAAGGATATTTTGAAAAGCTTGGCTCGGTGATACTGAGACATCCTGCCCTCTGCCATTCCATTAACCCAGTCGAGAAATGCTCCTGTAAGCCTGAGACAATGGAGTTGAGAAAGGATGATTTGAGTGATGCATGTAAATTGGGATTAATAGTATGGACTGGAGGGGAGTGTGATGGAGAGGAAATATGATAAGTACTTAGGTAGCTAGTGGAAGCAAGTGAGAAACTATTAACTGAAATGAGCCCTAGAAGAGGAACAGCATCTTTGGGCAAGATGATGGATTCGACTTGACACCTGTAGAATTCAAGGTCCCTGTAGGCAGTTAGTAGCATAAGAAGCTGGGGTTCAAGAATACTTACAACCATACACACCTGAGTCAATTATGAAGCAATAGGAAAGACCATATAAAGGTTTTAACAAGGCACCAGAAAAACCCAGAGACAAGGGAGATTTGTATTGGCTGAAACAGATAAGTCGGCATGGAGAAGTGGAACTTGAGATGCATCTCAAAGCGTTAATAGAAAATTCAACTTCAAGAAATGTGGCGATTAAAAATGGAGACGGTTTGCAAAACGGTCCGGGCTGGGAAAGAAAAATGCTGTTTCAGGAGGGCAGAATGGTAATATAAATGGCTTAGTAACAAAACTTCATATACCCTCATTTATGTGTCACTCCTAGCTGGAGCCATTATCATTCACAATTTACACATTACGAAGTAGGTTCAGAGAGGTTAAACAAATGACCCAAAAGGTTCTAAGGGAAACGGTGTGCCTTCACTCTAGAGCCTTTAATCTAGAGTCTTATTCTGATCCATTAGGTTGTGTGTGCTTAAAGGTAGGATTCATCTCTTACATACCCTTAAATACCTCCTCACTAGTGTGTTGCCTGAAAATAGAGGCGGCTCTCAATAACTATCTGTTGAATTAGACTTCTCATTTTTGTGTGTGCGGTGGTCTAATTGTATGCCGTCTATACTTGAGACCAAACATGGAACATAACATTGTAGGACTGGAAAGTACCGTGATGCTTTTCAAACCCAGTCAGCTCACTTTACAGGGCAGCAAGTTACGTCTCAGGAGAGGAAGTAACTTGACTGGGATTTCACCTGCATATCGCAGCTCCTATTGTGAAATCTCACATCTCATATCATCAGAGTGAATCACTACCTTGATCTCCGTTGTTTCTTCAGCTAGGGCTTGTCTTGCATACCATTCAGTCCAAGAGAGTCATGGGTGCAAAGTGTGAGGCCGTCCTCCGTCCTCTGAGCTCTACAGAGTTAGTTGGAAAGGAGAAACATGGATAGGACGTAGGAGGAGTCACCTTTGTTTTGCTGTTTTTTAAATGGAAAAGCATAGTCCCACCTGCTCAGGTCAGATGAGAAGAAATACCATCCCAGGGTAGAGAACTGATGAGAGAGTAACATGAGCCATGGTGGAAAAGGTCCAGAGCTGGGATTTAGGACCTCTGGGGGCACGAACAGGTTGTGAGATGTGGGGGCTCTCTTAGGTTCCTCATCTGGAAATCAGAGGATTAGATTAGATTAGATTTGTCTAGCTTTTGTTTGTCACTTGCCTTCTCAGCTAAACCCCTGCCCAAAGCGGATGAGCTCCTCCTTGCCAGCCAGTGAGGGGAGGAAAGAGCTTGAGACTGCTCTACGCTACCATGAATGGCTCCTAAGGGTGAACAGAGTCCCTTGGGGCCATGTGAACATTGATTGGTGTGCTCCTTGCTCAACCAACCCTTCGAGGGTCCAGACGGCCGATCTGGTCCCTTCAGCCTGATCTTCTGGGCCTGTCCCCGTCAGCCCGTCCTCCTGGCTTGACTCTGCTTCTGGTCTTCTGTGCTTTACCTCAGCTCTACATCCGTGATGCCCGTGATTCATTGATCTCGCTGTCTGCTTGTCTCGTCCTTCCCCTCATGTTCTACACCTTTGATTTTTGAAACAATTTTTTTTAACGTTTGTTCATTTTTGAGAGAGACAGAGCGTGAGTGGGGGAGGGGCAGAGAGAGGGGGGGACACAGAATCCCAAGCAGGCTCCAGGCTCTGAGCTGTCAGCACAGAGCCCGACGCGGGGCTCGAACTCACGAACCGTGAGATCATGACCTGAGCTGAAGTCGGATGTTCAACGGACTGAGCCACCCAGGCGCCCCTGTTCTTTTTTTTCTTTTTCTTTTTTTTTTTGAACGCCGGGTGGTTTTCCGTTGTATGGATATACCACATTTGGTTTATTCATTCACTGCTCGCAGGACATTTGGCTCATTCCCAGTCCGGGGTGATGATGAATAGAGCTGCCATAAACACCTATGCACGAGCGTTTGCATGAGCGTAAGCTTTCTCTTCTCCAGGGCGAATACCCAGGATGGGGAGTGCTGGGTGGATCCCCTTTATATTGATTGCCTCCCACTAGCGAGCCTGTTTGCCCTCCCCGGGGCTTCTGACGCCCTCCGCGCCTCGCTGCCTTCCCTCTCCCTCCGTTGAGCAGCCCCGTCTGCCAAAGCGCTTCTGGCAAGATCCCACGCCACTTTCTGGCGAGAGAGCTCCCAGCATGTGCTGAGACTGGAGCCCATTGCCATTAGTCTAAATCTCTCTGGGCTCTGACTTCTTTGCTGGGATTCGGCTTATTGCACCGGTACCTTAGTTCCCTCTGCTGGCGGATCCACAAAGCTGGCTTTCAGCCTGTGCCAGGGGGGAGAAATGGTAGGTGCGGTGGAAAAAAAGGAAAATCACCGGGGGGTGGGAGTGGGGTGGGGTGGGGGTGGGGAGGGAGGCTGTGGCACGCTACCGTTGTAGTGACAGCCTGACAGGGACACTTCATGTATTTGATGCTACACATATAGATAAACGCTGTAATATTTTTGTGGAGCTCTACAATATTGTGCTTGTCTTCTCCATTGTAGGCAAAGATGGGCTGTCTGGAAAGCTGGACTCAGCCTGGAGCCTGCTACCCAGATTGCGATTTTGTGAAGACTTCCGCATACAAATGACTCAGATGCAAACATTCAGAAATGATCTTGGAGGGCCATCTGGTCCTTGCTGGTTCTGAAAGCTTCATTCAGCCTGGCGGATGGAGCCCGTGCAAAAGAGAGTGAGGGCCCCGCACTGAGGTTTAAATACGTTCCCCTGACCGAGGCGAGAAGCTGACTTTCGAAATAGCTGAGGCTCGAGGGCCGGCTGATGTCGCCTCCCTCTTATAGGTCAGTGCCAGTCTAATGAATATTTCACTGATGATCATGTAGTTGCACGGAGGCTTCAACACACACACACACACACACACACACACACACACACGCACGCACACACGCACACACACACACAGAGTTTTGCGTCATCGGGGAGCATGTGTTAATTTGTTTGGGTGTCTGAAACGGGTGGGAATTAGGCTGACCCAGCATGTCAGGCGGCGAGGTCTATCAGAGCCGTGGGATCATGGGGATGTGTCATATTTAATTCGCGAAGACAGCCTTGCATTTGGGACAGTGGTGCTGATGGGCTCGCCTTGCGCACTGGCTGGCTGCTCGCCTTTTGACCCGAGGTATTATGACTGCATGTTCTGTGGCCAAGGGACAGGGAGCGTCTCCTTGCTGGGAGGCTACCAGGCTTGGATAGGGATGGAGTCCTGTACTCTCAGCCAACGGGTTCTGACCAAGTCCCGGCAGAGACTGGGCATGTAGGGAGAGGGACGCTGTGCACCGGGGAGCATGGCTTTGGGACCGCCACCTCATCTGGCCAAGCTCGTGAAGAGACGCTCCCTGTCTAACCTCTTGTTCCTCTGGGCTTTCGTTTTCTTGTCTGACGGCGGCAGAAGGGGTGGGGGGCACGTTGGCTTCCTTTAGTTTCCGTAGACAGAGCCACAATATGTCGTCCAAGATGACAGGGTAATTCATGCTTTTTCGCTCCCTCGGATGTAAACTTGAGTGCAGGGGCTGCGTCTCTTCTCCACGTACCCCCAGCCTTAGCACAGCATTGAGCCCACCCAACACACGAAAAGGGACCTTACTAAATGCTGAGGAGAGGGACACCTGGGTGGCCCAGTAGGTTGAGCGGCTGACTTCGGCTCAGGTCGTGATCTCGCAGTTTGTGAGTTCAAGCCCCGTGTTGGGCCCTGTGCTGACAGCTCAGAGCCTGGAGCCTGCTTTGGATTCTGTCTCCCTCTCTCTCTGCCCCTCCCCTGCTCGAGCGCGCTCTCTCTCTCTCTCTCTCTCTCAAAAGTAAACATTAAAAAAAAAAAAAACCTTAAATGCTGAAGAGAGCGGCGTGATGTTTTCAAGGCACCCATAAGCTGGGTGAGATATATGAATGTTGGGACCATGGGGAAATTATTTTCCTTTTCCCTCAGTTAATTTGTCTTTCTTGAATTCCCTCTCCATAAAGATGTTGGCGTTCCGCATTCAGTCATTCCCGTCTTTCCACGACTGTGGTGCTCCAGGAGATCTGCCCTACAAGATCTGGAATACCGTCAGATGAAATAAACTGGTAAGTCCTTCTCTGCAAGTTGAATGTTTTGTTTCAAAAGCCGTGCCGGATACCTACAAAGATTTCCTCAGTCCCTAGCGCCCCGGCCCAAAGACGAGAAGCGAAACCTTGTAACGGTCAAAAGCAGAAGTTAATGGTTTAGAACTTTTAGGCCGTCCTGGGCGGTCTCTTCTAGCAAGATGGCGCCTTCAAGGGGTTTCTCACTGTTGAAGCAGAAGTTTAACGTTACCGGTTGTATGATCATCGGGTGAGGCTTATGGTTTGCGAGAGAGTAGGTAGGGCTCTGCCGTGTACCAGCTTTCTTCAGCAACGCTTGCCCTCTGCTCCTCTCAGGATAACATGCTTTCACAGAGAATCTTGATGTTTCCCTGTGAGTGGTTTTATAGGGGCTTCACCTATAGCATGGGCTTTGCTGGGGCCCTAGGGACTTATGTTGGCCCCTGGTAAGTTCACTAATGGCAGTGCCTGTATTTCTATTTTTTTTTTTTTAATTTTTTTTTTTTCAACGTTTATTTATTTTTGCGACAGAGAGAGACAGAGCATGAACGGGGGAGGGGCAGAGAGAGAGGGAGACACAGAATCGGAAACAGGCTCCAGGCTCTGAGCCATCAGCCCAGAGCCCGACGCGGGGCTCGAACTCACAGACCGCGAGATCGTAACCTGGCTGAAGTCAGACGCTTAACCGACTGCGCCACCCAGGCGCCCCTATTTTTTTTAATTTTTAAAAAAAAATTTTAATGTTTATTTATTTTTGAGAGAGAGAGACAGACGGCAAACTGGGGAGGGGCAGAGAGAGAGGGAGACACAGGATCCGAAGCAGGTTCCAGGCTCTGAGCTGTCAGCACAGAGCCCGACGTGGGGCTTGAACTCACGAACCGTGAGATCATGACCTGAGCCGTCGTCAGATGCTTAACCAACTGAGCCACCCAGGGTCCCCCTATTTTTGTAATTTTTGGTAAAATATACACAACATGAAAATTACTACCTTAACCATTTTTAATGACGCTATTACAATATCATTGACTCTGTTTCCTGGGCTGTACTTTTAATCCCTGTGATTTAGAATTGGAAGTTTGTATCTCCTAATCCACCTTCCCTGATATCACCCCTCCCCCTCGTGACTTTCCTTCCCTTTGAAAACTACCAGTTTGTTCTCCGTGCTTCTGGATCTATTTCTGTCTTGCTTGTTTGTTTATTTTGTTTTTTAGATTCACATACCATTTGTCCTCACAGCTTGTTGTCTGTGGCTGGCTGCTGTCACTTAACATAAGGTCCTCAAGGTTCATCCATAGTGTAACATGTGTTAGGAATTCCTTCTTTTTTAAGGCTGAGTAATATTCCATTTCATTCATCCATTCATCCGTTGATGGACACGTGGGTCACTTCTACCTTTTGGCTACCTTGACTAATTCTGCTATAAACATGGGTGTACAAATATCTCTTCAGTACCCTGCTTTCAATGCTTTTGGATGTGTACCCAGAAGTGAGATTGCGGAATCATGGGTAGTTCTATTTTTAAGTGTTGGAGATACCACCACACTGTTTTCCACACTGGCTGCACCGTTTTCCATTCGACCAACAGCGCACGAGGCTTCTGATTTCTCCATACCTTCTCCAATGCTTATTTTCTGTTTTTTGGGGGTAGCAAACCATCTTAAGGTGCACGAGGTAGTATTTCACTGCACTTTTAGTTTGCATTTCCCTAAGGAGTGGTGATGTTTTCGTGTACTTTTTGGCCATTCGTATGCCTCCTTTGCCAAAAATGTCTGTTCAAGTCCTCTGCCCGTTTTGGAATCGAGTTGTTTGTTTTCATTGCTGAGTTATAGGAATTTTTTGTATATTTGGGATCCCTTGTCGGATAGATGATTTGCAAATATTTCCTTCCATTCAGTAGGTTGTTTTTCCACTCTGCCGATCATGTCGTGTAATGCCCAGAAGTTTAAAATTTATATGTAGGGTGATTTATCTATTTTTTTTTTTCTTTTTCTGCTTGGCTTTTGATGTCATATTCAAGAAATCATCGCCAAATCCAATGTCATAAAACTTTCCCCCTATATTTTCTCTTAAACGTTTTATAGTTGGAGGCCTTACATGTGGGTCTTTGATTTATTTTATGTAGCACCTGTTTTTGCCCTTCCTTAGTGAGTTTCTTGAGCATAGAGGCCGCGGCTGTCCATCTACATATTCTTGGCACATAGGACATACCTGGACACGTGGTAGGTGATCAGTAAATCACAGCTGAATGAAACAACTTTATCAGACATGATGAGACTAAACCAAAGAATGTATTTATAGTGACTTTCCATCTCCATAGTAATTATGGCAGACTGCCCTGGGGACCCGTAAAGAAATCTCTGAATTAAGAAAGTAATACTACTTGCGAGGGCTTTTTGGCATTTTACGTATTTACTTTCTCCTGAAGATATATAACGGAATACCCGCACATTTGTCATGCTGGTTGTGTTCTTATCACACTTGACCTTGACCGCCTTTTTCATGCGCTCTGTGAGCAGTTAGCTCTACCATGATGAAACCGTGCAAAGAGATTGTTTCTCCCGTCCACGTGGGTCCCCAACACCCCGGGTGGGTCGGTGGAGGAGGTGATAAGTTAGCTTCATGACCTTGGGCAAGTTATTTCCCCATCTCAGAGCCTCCTTCAGTTCCTTCATTTATGAAATGAGCAAGAAACACATAGGAGAGTCCTTCTAGTTCGAAAATCATCCAGTATTTCAAACCGAAGTAGAAACTCAGCCTCCTCTGGGGAGAAACAAAGATAAGCTTCACCACCGTCTGGCTGGCAGAGAGGACCTGAGAGCCAGGTAGAGAGAAGGCTGGACCCTATCACTGGCATTACGTTCCTGCTCACGCCAAATGTGCTCCAGGGAAGGGGACGGTTTGTGAAAATAGTCATACCATTGTTGTCCTTGCACCGGGGACGTCTCCACGTCTCAGAGACTCCGGAGCCAATGGTCTTGTACGTGGGCACGCGTGCGGTGCGACCAATTCAAAAGATAAGGGGCCTCTGGGTCACAATGTTAGTTACAGCTGTGAAGGTCACCCCACCTCTAACCCCACACATCCCACGTGTCTTCTGGTGAGTTTCAGCCACGTTTCAGAGACGGTTTAGACACTGGCCCCCTCGTGGGCTCCTCTGTGAGGTACCCTGTGTATACTAGCATCTGATTCTGAGGTCTCCCTTCTGCCACAGCCATTCCTGGACCTTTCTGAGACTGGGCACTGGGGCTTCTTCATGGTGCCAGTCAAACAGCAAGGACTACCGAGGGCATTGGGGAAATCTGGATTCTGATCTCCACTCTTCCCTCTGCGTGAGCTCTGGGCAAGTGAATTACCCCTCACTGGGAATGGGTGTTGACAAGTGTCAAATAGAAGGGATTGTATCTACTGTTTTAAGCAGGGAATTGGGTTGTCGAAAGAGGGAAGAGTAGAAGGAACTACCTTTATCGAGCGCCTTCTGTATGCAAGGTCCTCTGCCAACTGCATGTACAAGCTGTTATTCTGTTCAATACTCAAAACAGTTCCATGAAGGAGCCCTTGTTAGACTCGTCTTAGGATGGGAGAATTGATGCTCAGAGAGGTTAGGGGACTTGTTCAGAGTCACACAGCTTGTATGCAGCAGAATCAGGATTCTTGTGCACACCTAGTGCACATTTTCTCCTCTTAGGGCTCCTCAGAAGGAGGATCGCAACCTCCTGAGCCTTCTGGCTTTTACCTTTGCTGAAGAGCAGATGCCGCCTACGTTCCCCCAAAGCCACATTTTCCAGAGGAAGAAGAAACTTTTGGTCAAATTGCCAAATGCGGAGTGTTGAGGGGGGCTGCGTCAAAATTGCCCCAAAGACAAAGATCCAAGCGTAAGCAGGGCTTCATTTATCTGTGATTCCAACTCACAGTCATTTCTTTTGCTCTGTCTTCCTTTCTCTGAACATATTCTTCGCAAATGCGTTTTCACCGGGGGCCCTGGTGAGGGTGATGGGGTCCAGATTCCTGCTCTGGGGCCCTGGACTCACAAAGGCCAAGTTGACGTCCATTCCGCATCTGGCTTATTTGATTCCAGAAGAGTGCTGAGGTCCCCTGAGAGAGCCAGGAGAGATTTGCCTCCTGCAGAGGTTTGGATAAGCCTCAGCTAATCTCCGTGGCTTCTTAAGGGCACACCTGCTTGTCTGCGAGCCAGCAGCCTCCTTGCTCATTTCCCGTGGGACGGCTGGGGTCAGAGGGCCTCCAGAAAGCCTTTTATCCCCCACCGCCCCACCAGGCCCCCCGCAGCAGCACCTGGGTCCACACATAAGACTTTCTTTGAGGGGAGGTCTAGACGTTGCCCCTCCCAGAATGGGGGCCGGTGCCCCTTTCCCTCTTTCCCAGGCAGCTTGCTTGTTCCTTCCTTCTAAATAAGCATTTAATTCAAGCCTTATCATGCATGGCTCAAACTTTATCCCGCCGGGGCTAAGCTGATCTGAATTAGTTTCTGGGCTGCTGAGCTGTGAACGCATAGTAGGTGCTCAGTAAATAAAGATGGCGTCTGGTTGTGATCTGCCTGGGACGCCACGAAACGCTGTGAGCTTTCCATCTGCTACGTCGCCCGGATGCGATGGTAACGCTGATAATATAACACGTCAGAGAATTCAAGTCATCTGGTCAGCCTTGGGAGTTAGGGATTCTTTCCTCCCACCTTTCCCAAATCTCATTGTCCTTCTTAATTACCCTTTAGAAGTAGCTAGTAGTGAAGTTGATTTGTATTCTATGAGCATTCCGCTTAAGATGGGCAGTCAGGGACTGTTGTTTGACATAGGAAGCTCTCAGGTGTTTGCCTTCTTGCTTTCTTTCCTTCCTCCTTCTTCCTTCCTTCCTTCCTTCCTTCCTTCCTTCCTTCCTTCCTTCCTTCTTCCTTCCTTCCTTCCTTCCTTCCTTCCTTCCTTCCTCCCTCCCTCCCTCCCTCCCTCCCTCCCTCCCTTCCTTCCTTCCTTCCTTCCTTCCTTCCTTCCTTC